TTCAGCTCCGACTTAGGAACTTCTTGGAGTACTCTTAACAAAACACTCACCACAAAAACTTGTCAACTACGCCTTGACCATTAACACGCCCTCGCTCGCAACAGCACAGGACAGACATGCAAACAACCAGGAACTCACTAACCAACAAACAAATAAACAAGCAAACAAACAAACATACAAATAGTGGCAAATAGCAGAGGCTAAGAAGGTACACATGTACACGCACAACCCGAAACCTTGGGCCTAAAGTCAAATTGCAAAGGAGCTGAATTCTTAAGGAAAATGAGCGAGCAAAATAAAAAGATACACTTGTACCTACAGAGTACAAAAAAAAAAAATAACAAGAAACTATGCAAAAATGAAAGAAAAATATTTACTACACGTAACAATAAATCCACTCGAGAAGTCGTCACACAAAAAGGAAGAACTGCAGAAATGGGAACGAGGTTGAAGGAATCTGATTCCATTCACGACAAGGAAAAAAGAGAGCCTTTCATGTCACTCCCGCTGAAGAATCCTTTTCCAAGGAAGTGGAAACCACGCAAGTTGGACAGTTTTCTTTCCCTTCACATACACTTCGACAAATTGATTCAAAGATTATATCGCGATGGAATGAAACGCCAAAAATAGAAAGCAAAGCCAAGTCATACGGGCACTTTCCTTTTTCGGCAGTGATTAAATTCGCCATAAATTATAAATGAGCTTTCTCTGGCTTAAACAGGCACAGCTGCAGGTGTTTTGGGTCACAGACCTGGAACTAATTACCTGGCCCGGGCAGCCAGCACACCGCTCGTGTCAAAATAAGCCAGCCAGGACATTGTCCAAAAAGAGTTTTCCGTGGTTCTGGCTCCCTCTTCGTCTAAAATTGGATAGTTGCCATTTCTAATTTCAATTCCAGGCTGTGGTGGCTTAGTTTGTTATTTTTGTATTTTTTTTTAGGTCCACCCACTATTGTTGCTTTTGGGTTGCCGTGGGTTGCCATTGAAGCATCCACACAAATGTGACGCCAAATGTCCATCGACATCGTTTTCTGGTTTTCTCGAAATTGGCAGCGTTGCCCCAGCAACATTAAAATTAATTACCACAAATGGACAACTCTCATTACTGATATTTCGTTCTCTGCCCCAACTCGGCTTCATTTTTATATAAAATGGATATATATATTCCCGTAAATGGAGTATATAGGTAGGAGTCATGACTATTGTTATTATAAAGAGGGTTCTCCCCTCGGGGAAATGCTGAAAAGAATTGGAATTCCAGGCGAAATGGCAATAGGGTCACGGCATGGTCCTCAAAACAAGTCACAAAAGTAAATCATTAATTTTATTCCATTTTGGCTTGTCACCCACCACAAAAGTTGTGACTTTTTCACAGAAAAATTCCAGTACATTGGCAGGTTAATTAATTTGAAAAGTTTTTAGTTTCAATAGTCCCAATAAACCAAACCAAAATATCTTTAATTCTTTAATATTTTAGAGGCACTTTGTGTGCGGCTCAAAGGGAGCAACAAACCTTAAAATCAAACTAAACTTGTCTGAAAACGAACAAAGCCAAGTTAGTATTATAGAAAACTAAGAAGAATAGAATGAATAAAAGAAATACACGACTCAGCTAAAACCTTCAGAAAGAATATAAAGAAAAGCCAAGAATCGAAGTTGCTGGGAGCAGCTAAGTTTGGGGCACAAGTCAGAGTAAAACTAGCTGAAAATCATGAAATATTTCGTACATTAGCAATTGTTATATGGAGTTCAACGTCGTCGGCCCCCTGTCCGCCCATTTCCTTCCCTGGAGCATGCCAATAATAGTTGCATTTGACTTTGTTGCCATTCAAGAGTCTGCAACTTGGCGGAATGGCAAACGAAGATGAAATAGAAAAGTCAGCGTCTTATATATTCCATTATGACTTCTGTCCATTTCTTTTCGGCATCCCCATCCCACCATCCTAGCTCTGGCATCTTCTTTTCTTTTCGATGGCGCCCCTCCACTTTCTGGCTCAATTACTCAAAGTTTTTGTGCTCCAACCAAATGAGTAAACAAAGGAATTCAACTATGCATTTCAATTTCAGCTACAATGGTTCCAAATTAATTTATCATTTCTGCACAGATATTTTCTTTTTTTCCATCCTTAGCTGGCAGGATTAAAAGGACATGGCTCTTTGGATTTTTCTATAAGTTGTTTTGAGGAATATATATTGGAGACCTTAGCTAAGAGTCGTGCTAATAGACCGTCTGCCAATCCAAACGATGTAAATGTCGAAGATTCAAAAGTTTCTCTCCTTGAAAACTTTAACTTCTTTTATAACTTTCCCTCAATAAGCATATTGACCTTCTGACCCACCTCTTTGCCACTGGAAGACATCATCAATTGTACAACTTTGCAGAAACTTTGTGGCCTTGTCCTCAAAACCATAAACCTCCGGCAAAACGGTAACACAAATTTGTGATTATAAACTTTTTAACAGCTACTCATGCGTGCCCACTTAAATATGCAACAATTTCCACATAATTTCATATACACCTCTCCTGCCCACTAGGCGACCAGGATCTCTCCCACATCCACCCTGACAGGTGAGGCTAATCACGTGACATTCCAGCACGAACTTAGCGTATGGACGAGCGAGAGCCCGGAGCCTTTGGCCAAACAATTATTACGGCCCAGCAGGCACACACACGGTCCCACGCACACATACACCGTGTTCCGCTTGAGCAAACAGACAGGACACACATTTGGCGGGCCGTGTGGCTGACAGGATTTGCGGCTTGTGCGGGCGGTCCGACTATGATTAATACCAAACAATTTCACATCACCGGCTGGGTGGATGCGTGAAAATGTCATGTGATTTTCATGGCTATGTGGCCACTAACTGTTGAGCCATAAAGGAAATTCGTTTTGCAACGCTATGCCAGCATCAAAACGCACCTGCAGCTTCAAAACAATAAGCCTCTTGAAATTCTTTTGAAGTCAAAAAAAGGATAAAAGGCTATACAATACCCGATACTCATGAGTCCCATGCCTAAGGATGCTATTTATTGACACTCCTCCAACAATTATCGTTTCATTCAATTAAGAACTTATTGATAAAACATAATTCTTCACATATATTTAAATATTTACAACCAACCCACATGCCGACGAAAAAAAGAGCCCTTTGACTTTTGCAGTCAATTTAAAAATGTTCGATTCCCTCCACATGCCATAGGTATACCAGGCATAAATTATGTACGTGTGTCAATAAAAAAATAAAGCCAAAAACAATTTGCTTACACACTCTGGCGCACAATCACTTCGAAATCGAAATACATACATATAGACATTTTAAAACAATTATATTGGACTTTTATGGGCGGGAGGCAGCAGCAAAAACCAATGCATTTATTCAAATGAGGGGCTGAGTGGCCTGAAGAGGGGATTTTCCGAAATATATCTCCCACAATGTATAGAACAATTGTTTACATATTTAATGAACTGACCAGGGCCAGTGCAAAGGGAAAAACTCCACTAAATTCGATAAGCCAATGTGTGGAAATCAATCGTATATTCCTCATTTAAAGAGATTCAGGGCTTTTGTGTGGCATGACAAGGATAATAGGGATTACAAGGATAGAGCCATATTGAGGAGCTTAACTTTAAATTGAACATCGTGAATATTTGACGAGTTGAAATGTGTGCCACTCAAGCAAATTAACTAAATGGAGGCTTAGCTATAAGTTTTTAATTACTTATACAAAAGGGATTTAATGCTAGGGCCTTAACTTTCTGGTTTAAACTCTAACTCTTAACAAAGTCTGTGTTTCTTCCTGTCAAAAGTACATATTATCCCTGCAATTATCGAAAACTACCACTTGACAGCGCCAGTGGCTTAATAACTGTCATCAATTAATTGATTTCGATTGGCTGCCGTCAATATAATTCGACCTGTCCCTCATCAGGCCGCCATTCATATTAAATGGCCATTAACCCCACCAAGCATTTTCGCCAAACACTCGCCTCCGAGTGTTATTTACATGTCAAAACCAACTCAAACATAGCCCCCATGGCAACAAATACAGAAACGAATTCCCCCCCGGGGATAATATTCACATATATATACTCGTACAAGTAATTTCCATTTACATAAGTAAAAGGAAAAGGTAGCCAAAACAGAAGACTAACCGAAAAGGCGAACAAAAGCTTTACATGAAATATTTATAAATATTACGTATACGTAATCGAATTGATTGATTTTGCAATTTCACGCAAGCCGAAACAAAATGCCAGGACCAGCGGGACAAACAACCAAAGGTCCTGGCAGACACAGGCACACACAAAAAAAAAAGAAACCCAACCAAGGTTAACTCACAGACCTTGGATTATTGGGGCGGTTAGACAACTACAAGCTTCTTAAGTGATTTCAAAGAGTTCAGGGCAGATAAGATAAAACACATTATGGTAATGTGCACACAGTAACAAGTTAAGGACACGCCTCCTCGTTCAACAGCATTAAGATATCCCACGGTACCCACACACAAGCACACACACACTAGTAATCCTTTATGGCCAAAAAGCCAATGACTCCACGCTTGACCATCGACTTGAATTACAAATGGGTTGCCATCGGCCTAGTGGTGTTGTTGCTGCTTCATCGGATCCATCACTCGGCCAAGTATCCGCAATCACACAGCGGCACGTGTTGCTGTCAGGGTAGGGCCAGGAATCGGATCTCATCCTTCAACCCTTTATTCCATCCTCCGGCCCTCTTGAGTTTCGGGAAAAGGTTTAATGGCAGCGAGGACCAAAAAATGATTGGTAATTTGATTCTTTATTAGATTTTTCAAAGGCAAGTGCCGTTGGCTACTTTAAAATTTATGAAATTTTCCCACCATTTGTCAGGCCATGAAAATGACTTGAGGTCAGAATCCGGTGAAGCTTATAATTGGCCAAAAGTCTGATTTGATAAAGATACTTAGACTATATATTTTTTTTTAATACATTTGTATAAAAAGTATATAAAAGCACTTACCACTAACAAAACTGCCCAAGTTTGCTGAGACTTCCAATTAATGTTCGCCGACATTTTTATCTGTATTTTCTCGTAATCATGGTTTCATGCTGCAAAGAGAAGAGTAAACTTGTTTAATTTACTTAAAACTTAGACAAACCTAAATAAAATATAAGCCAGGACCTCTTTAATATGATTAAGAAAGAATATTTAATGGCGTAGCAACGCCAAGCAATTAATAAACAAAAATTTCAGCTGATGGCGACCCAAGATATATAAGAGGGTTTCTTCGCGAAGACGTTTTAGTAAACAGCTCTAAAAATGTTGAAGCTGACTCTTCCCGACACCCAAACGAACATAATAAATACGTTTCTGACATTGGAACATTTGTCATTCAAATTAAGTACAAACGACATTATTCATTGGAAACTCCGAGGCAAGCGGAATATTTGCCAGCAAGTCAGGAAGGGAAATTCCATAAATTTTATTTAGTTATTTTTTGGCTATGGTGTTGAAAAATGAATTTTATTTTATGCTTTAAGAACATTTGTTACTCAAGACTAAGTATTGAAATAATCTTTTATCAACAAATTGGAAAAAACTTAGTTCTACATTTAGCCATCTGGCCACTCATTTAAATACACTTTGGGGAACACTTAAAGCTGGCCCAGATTCAAGTTGGAAATTGGAAAAATCCCATCGATAACAAGCTGTGAAAATTAATCTAATATGCAGCTGATGAAAATTCTGTATTATTATGGTTGCATTTCCCCATCAGAATCCTCCCTACGTTGCAACAGTTGTCAACATCGCTGGCCCCTCGAGATATCAGCACGAAAATCCAAACTATTCCATCAAATACCTGAAGCAAAGGTCATAAATTAAAATAATTTACAGCAGGGATCCAATGGAGAGAGCTCTGTACCCCGTTCCCCATTGTTGGATGTATATTCCCCGGAGTGGAGACAGCGCGTGGGCGTTGTTCCGTAAAAACTCACGCAGGTGATTTTATGTGGTTTTTATGTGCGGTTTCTGGCTTTGGCTGTGCTTTGCTTTTGGAATCCTACTGCCAAGGATGGGGACATATTTTTTGGGGTCAGAGAGTAATGTAATTAGATTGTCAGGGCAAAAGGGTCGTCGGACTCTGGTGAAGGTAATTTCAGATTTATTTATTTTAAATATGTATGACTGGTTTGCGAGGGTAAAAAAACGTAAGTACCTTATTATAAAGATATTCAACAAGCTTATGTTAAAAACTTTTAAAAAATAAAGATGTAAACCAATCGAGAACATAAATTTTTTTGAAAAGCCACCAAACACTTTCCATTTGTTATATAGAATATCGGAATTTTCCTCATTTCCGGCTTTTTTCCTCAATTTGCATATTGGTCGGGCAATTAATTAAAAAATTAAAAACTCGATTGCGTAGAATGGATTCAGGGAAAGGAGCCTGTGCCGCCGACAAAAAAGAGAAGGGAAAAAGAATACAAGAATGCTTGAAAAAATAAATTAACTATGCTCTTTTTTCACAGCGAACCCCCACTGCCAGTCCACCCAGGCCACCTAGTCCTCCGCCCCACGTTGTCATTGTCAATGCTCATTGTTGCCATTGTCGTTGTTGTCTTCAGTGGAAATGTTGCGCATTGAACTTTTAATTAGCATACAGAAGGCACACCGAAAGCGGGGTGCTGAATGGCAGACACAGAGTGCGGCAGGTGTTTGCAGAGGAAGGAGAAAGTAACCCCTTCTGCCCTGGATCCGCAAAAAATATCGAGGGCATACAACAAAGTGAAATTCTATGCACAGATTGTTTGTTTGCGAGACTGAATTGGCTCTTGATTGTTCATAAATTATAAACAATTCGTGTCTTTTAGACAAGCTCATGTCTGGTGACATACAAAAACACATACTAGGAGGCCAGTTAGGATACTTTAATTAAGCATTTATTAACCTTCTGTCAAGTTGGTTATTATTTCCCCCGATTTTCAGTCTCTTCGAATAGCCAGAAGCCATGATGACATTAGGAGCACCTTGAAGAAAGAAAACTTGACACCTCAAGTAAAAATTCCCAATCGAAAAAGATTGTTCACGGTACCAGAAATCTATAGGTGGTACCAGCAATAACCAAATGAAAAAACAATTAAGATAAATCCAAAAATAGGTTCGATTCCTCAAATTGCTGATTTTTGGAAAACTTCAGTTTTTTGGGAAAAAAACAGATACTAGTAGGCCAATAGAAATATGTTAGGGTAACTTTCAACTACTCCAGAGTCCGATTAAAATTCAATTCAATAGTGTTACCTTTTGTAATATTTCCCCCAATTTTCAATCAATGTATAGTCCCTTTGGAGAACCAAAAGACCATGCCAGGCAACCCAACCGAACCTAAAGTACCCACATTTTATCGAAAACTTTCTTTCAAGGGGCCCACCATAATTTTCCAGCAGGAAAAACAAAACTTGTAGAAAAACGGGGAAAACGGAAAACCCATTTCTGGCACTCTTGGGATTCGGAAACGAACAGGAAGATCAGTTTCGAGAACAAAATTTCAGTGTAAGTTGGCAATCAATTCAGATTCAAGTTACGTTGAGGACATGCTCATTTTATTCCTTTTTCTTTGACAGTCGGATGATATCCTTAATCTGGCCGTGACCGGCTGGCTTCGGCACTCGATGAATGACACGTCGCTGCGCCACTCCTACGATCACACAATGATTCCGCAATACTCCCAAGAGCAGCAGCAACATGGGCTTCACCAACAGCAACATAATCCGGCATCGCTGCCCATGACGTGTCCGTGTGCTTCAGGGAACCAACAACAAAATCATGGGACTCTACTTCAAGAGCAGCAACATCAGCAAAAGCTACAGAACCAGCAGCAACCAATGCAGCAACAACAGCTGCAACATCCAATCCGTCAACAACAATATTATTATAGCCAACCGCCAATGAATCCCCAATTCAACTCTCAGCCTAGGAATTACAACTACGGCAATTACAACTATTGGTATAACACGCCCCAGCAAATGAAAAATATGAGAGAAGTACCAGTAAATCCAGATCTATCGGGTATAGTGCCACAATCCTTCTATCAACCTGGACAGGTACTTAAGATTAAAACTATATATGAACTTTGATTTTTTAATTTGATTTTCAGTCTCAGAATGGATTGCAAATTGCCAGCTGTTCTGGATATCAGAACATGCCAGGCCGATATGCCAAAGTTGGTGGTCCCCAATCAGCCATGAGATACTTCAACCGCATCGATAGCTATACCGATTTTCACGAAAATCAAGGGTTACGGTATCGTGGCTCCGAACAGGACCTAGCCAAATATCGGAATATTGCATCGCATACCCTGCCACCAGAAGCTCCAGGGGAATGGTACCAGGATCAGAGTCCCAAAAAATGTAAAAGGCACAACAAAGACCGCGGAAAGAATGCTGATTCAAGCCTGCGTGCTTTTTCCAGTATTTTCCTTCAAAAACTGGGACTATTTATGCGTTTTCGAAAAAATGGGAAACAAAAGGATAAAAAAACTAACGACGTGATTAGCCACGAATCGGATCCCAATTCGAAGCCGAAGAAAAGGGGATTTTTTAAGAGGGTCTTCCGTGAAATGCCGAATCATCCCACCATGGATATCTATTCGTTTTCAGATCCCAAAACCAAAATCCAACAAATGGATCCGCCGGCCATAAACGATTACGATCAGGACGAAGTCCGCGAGATAGAGAACTTTCGAAAAGTGCGGGAGAAACACATTTTAAAACAGTCGAGGAAACCTGTGGCCTGCAAGGACGACTATCGCATGTCAGGGGGAACTATGCCTTAAAATATTTCAGCAAAATATAAAAATTGTACATTTCTTTTCATCAATAAAGTCGCCAAACCCAAAGAAACTGGAAGAGCTTAAGTTAGATTTCATAATTTCAGTTTCAGTGTCAGTTTCAATTATCTCACACCTCATCACATCAAACACAATATACATCATACTGTTAACCCATTACCCAGACCACCCAGTCAAACCGATAGATTACAAGAAGCGGTTCCATTTGATGACCCGAAACCCTCGAAATCGATGTCGAATGGATGACGAAGGCAGCTCATTAAACGGCCATCAAGGCGTATTAATTTTGACATTTCAATGGCCAATAGCCACACATCATTATCAGTCAGCAGGCCATCAACAGGCCATCAACAGGCCATCAATTGGCCGTTCGTTTGCAGCATCAACACGAAAGAAACCATGACATATTCGAACCATGAATAAAATTCGAATAGACGATTGCGCAGTTAACAGCTAATCAACTCGTTAACAACTAAGTACACAGCCCCAAACCCACACTCTACCAAAATAATTTGTCCCGAATCTGTCGAAAATGTATGCCACTGGAATTTTCGAAAAGGTTTGTTGAAATGTCTAAAAGTGTGGCACGAGGGTAGAAAGCAAAGTTTTTGTATTTATATTAGTGTGGTTAAGCTCTTTAAGGTCTAGGCCCAAGATTATACCGGAAGTTTTAAAATTCTTGCTTTTGCAAGTTTGATTTCTCTCTATAAAATTTATTGATTGAAACTTAAATATCATAAATACATTTAATACTAACACATTTATCATGACATCCAAAAAACCAAACATTTTAATAGAAAAATTAGAAAAGCAGCTATGTACATGCGGGTTTCTCGACATATACACAGATCTACATATACGAAGAACCTTAT